ACACTCACCGACCCACTACCACTACCGAAACAAACGACACCGCAACCCCTACGACTACAGCAACCATACCGTACATAAAAGGCATGTCTGAAAACATCTCGCGCATCTTACTACCCTTCAATATCCGCGTCGCCCACAAACCCATCACCACACTACGTCAGTTACTAACCAACGTTAAAGACAAAGACGAACCGAGGAACAGACAGGGAACGATTTATAAGATCAATTGTTCCGACTGCCAAGCCTCCTACATCGGTGAGACTGGCAGAAACCTCACAACAAGACTGACTGAACACAGACGGGCGACGAGGAAAGGTGATGTCAGCAATCACATTGCTGAACACCATCGACTTACCAACCACAACATTGACTGGGACTCTGCGCAATGCCTAACCTACAGCACTGACTATTTTCAACGACTGACTCTGGAAAGCTGGTTTACTAACTTAGAACAGACTCCCCTAAACAGATGTCAACAACTACCCGCTCCATACAAACGACTCATTCACGACATAAACATCACAAACGACCGAAAAAGAACGACCTTACTTTACCGACAGATCGAAACAGACCAATCACGACCGACTTACGTCACTTGAGTCTTACAGCCAATAACATCACGGCAAAACCAACCGATCATTTCACACGAACTGGAATAAGAACATTCTACTGACTACAATCATTCACTTGACTCTGATGATGACTTCCCCACAGGTTGTCGAAACGTCAGTCACTACCACCGACAACAGTCCTTTTCAGGACTACACTCACCTGGACGATCAGACTACACCTTCACAAAGAGGAATGTGTCACACAACTGTTCAAGCCGACTACATAATTTAAACCATGGAACTGCAGGACTACGGGACTGTGGGAGCAGCTGTTTTATTTGGCAACTGCGGGAGTGCAGGAACAGCATTTTAATTTGGTGACTGTGAGACTGCGGGAGCAGCTTTTTAGAGATGCATGTTAAGTGCCCGGGTATTCTGAAGTTTAGCCAAAGGCTTAGTGTTAATCACTTGCAGTGACAGTAAAACCGCATTGCACTGTGCATCTTTTGTTACGCATAAAGTTATTTATTTAGATAAATAGGCATGCGCAACTTCCAAGAGCACGGTAAAAAATGGTCGTAAAAGTATTTTTAATGCTTAATCCTTACCTGTAGCGGTTGACCTGAACTTCAAACATGGTATCCATTAATCAACCGAGTTTTGTAGCCGCTATGACATAATTTTTTTTCCCATTCAAACACCACCAAAGAAGACAAAAGATAAGCTAAAATGTAACTAATGTTTAGGGTGTCATTTTGGGGCATTGTTTGGTGTAAACATTTGTAGTTAACGCCATTGTCCAAAAGAGTATCAATGTTGGCGCCGCCATGTTGAAATTACCTTTAACTTGATCTCAGTGTTTTTCGTCCGCGGATACACGCGTTTTGTGAGCAGCTCAAAATAATTAGGACTTTCATTATAAGAGTTAGAACCACGTTTTTCTTGCGGCGAGATAAAATTATAGAGGAAAAAGAAATTTAAATGCCATGTTTACGGAGAAAAACGAATTTTGAAACTGTGTTCTTTCCAGCGCAAATGATGTTCTCCACAGCGCGGACAAGGTCCAAGGGAGAAAAGCGGAAAGGAAACTGAAGTTCAAACTTTATTTTGAAACACAGCGAAAAATCGGCTAGGTTCAATGGCATGTGATTTTTAGCCCCACTTCTTGCCATACCTTTCATTCCTGATCCTTTTACTTTTGAGCGGTACTGTAGCTAGAAGACTGAGACTTAAAAGATACACAGGATAAGTTTCTAAAGAAACTGTGGTGCTGCGTCGGTGGAGGTAACAAGTAGTTTGGTTTTATCAACTAAGTCGATAACGTGAATTGGCCACCAAGGGCTAACGCTTGAAAGGTTAGCTTTTAATCTAACCAATTTAGATAATTTTTATAATGTAAATTGGTGGCCAATTTACATTATTAACTTAGTCCATAAAACCAAATTACCTTGAGACTTAATAGCTGTGCTACCAAGAGGAGACCCTAGCCATAGTCCTTTTTTATGCAAACTTCTATTTTTAAAATACTCGAAGGTATAATAACTGTCATGGCGATTTATTTTGCCAATTTAAAAACTGTATGGAGAGGACTTATCTTATTTCAAGGAAAGATTGGCTCAATGGCCCATTGGACCTGCGTTCATTAAAAAATGAACCTGTACTGAGCGGCCACAGACGTGAATTATAAAAAACAGACATTAGAAACTCTTGTTAGAAGATACTTGTTTTAAGCGGACAGGTCAAGGAGAAATTTTAGTTTCTTATTTTGAGCAATTACATTTTAATACACGCATGTAAAACAATTACACCTGTATATAATTGTTATTCCATTGTTTCTACGAGTAGGTCAATATTAGAATTCCATTTTTATCATGCACTCATCCAATGGCGGCAGCCAGGAAAGTTCTGCTCAAAATGTTCCTCTTTTCCTATGTCCCATCAAAGCATCCATTCGTGGCAAGGTTTTTATTGTTCTTGTCATCAAATCCAAAATATTAAAATATCTAGTTTTGCCCAATAACAAAACACGGTCAAGGTTTTCTTTGATTTAAAGCCAACGCATATCTTTCCGAGAAACAAAGAAAATGGATGGAATCAGACACGAGATGCAGTGTAAGCAAGGTTTCGCCTCGCTTGTTGCGTGGAAACAGGAGACAAACCTGCAACAGTTTCAATTTCAGCAAGTCTTAGTATATGTTGGTCATGAGAGGAACTTGGTTGAGCTTCAACTGACTTATTTCTTCGTTTGGAAAATCTCTCTCTGAGCAGACCTCGGACTCTTTTCGTGGTAACAAAACACAACGTGATAGAAAATCCTGTGAAGAAGTAGAGCAAAAGGTATTGTCTTTAGAGAAATTAGGAATCCGGTAATACGAAAAAAATGGTGCTATTTTCGTGCTATTTTGGCCAACTTAATTTGACTTCATTAAAAATATTCTTCATGTTAGCTGTTATACGTCTTTTGAACTAACCGACTCAACAACGATGCTCCATTAATTTTGAATAGATGAAAGGGCTCTCTATGATAAACCTTCCATAGGGAACATTTTGGTGTTTGGTATAAACAAAAAGTGAGGTCCATTTCACAATACGTTTCAAAAGTATTCTTGGTTTTCATGCGACGTCACAGGCCTTTTCCAATTTTGGATGTCTGCCATGTTAGTTCCTCCTCTAAACTGGAGTGTCCTACTCCCACGTCGTAATGGCTTTGATGGAAACATCGTTCATTATCACTTACTCTCAAAAGAGGGTGTTACATGCATCCTCGAATCCTACAGCCAAACCCCTATAATAGATATCATGTCATACCCCATAGCTGTTTAACACTGTTGAAGGGTATCGTAGGAAGTCAGTTTGTTTCCAATTAGAAGCAAGTGCTAGAATCCAGGTCAGACCCATGACTGTGGTCAGCTTGATACAGATGAGGGTTAATGATGCTTTAGGGCTGTTCGATGCTGCCATGTTGGCAGCCTGTATTGGAGGAAAACGAAGAATATCAATCCTTTTGAAAGGCTGACAAGATTATAGAGACATAAATTGAGATCTACGAAAAAGAGCCAGTTGGACAACATTGTTAAGACTAGTTCCATTTTTCTTGAAAGGGAGGCTATTTTATCGCGAGTTACGCCGGCCCAGAAATTCACCAGATAAACATGGAATTTTACTGGTAATCATAAGTACTTATAGGTAAGGAAGGGCACAGGGAAGTGAAGCATCTTGATACTTCTGGCCAGGAATTGAACTTGGAACACTGCCGCGCTCTAAGCTTTGTGTCCTAACATCTCAAATGGTTGAAAAACCAAATTTGACCTCATATTACACTCACAAAAGGCAATAAAGTTCCTTTATATTTGGACCCATTTTAAGCCATTTTTGGTAATACTAGTTCTCTTCAGTATGATTGGCTATGTTCTTCACTTAAGTGTCAGTATGCTCCCAAGTTTACAATACAGCGTACATACCTTCTGCAAGTGATGAATGGCGTAAATATTTTTGGCAAAGCATATTATATTGAAGACCAACGCAGTGCTGACAGGAATCACCATGGTAACAGTCAACGCTTTTGTGTCGGATATCCAGCAATACACCGAATTTCCTTTTAAAAGAGTCAAAGAGAAAATTTGATCCTAACGCGGTTTATGAAAAAATTTATGAGAAATAAGGAAACACACGATCCAATGGGTTTACATACAGGGCATCCTTTTCTTAATATTTCCAGTATAAATTCGTGTAGTTCTTATTCATAATAATAAAAGAGATAATGGTAATGATTATTGCATGCATTTTTCACAGCGGCTATCCAGGCGAAGAATGCAGCAAACAGTCAACGTATCAATGTCAGGGTTTTAGTAATTGTGTACCTACCCCTCTCTTAAACCAACATTGACCCTAACGTGTTAACTGTCAGTGGACCGTTTTTGTGCTAGGGGATGGGTGGGTGCACAGGGGTAGGTCAGATATCCCAATCAGCAGAGAATTTCTGAGACACCAAATCTCTTCTGTTCAAATGTTGAACGAATACGAAGTCCGTAAAGATGTTAAGAATCGATTTTTAAATTCGATATTACACAAAATGTTAGTTAAATTGTTTCGCTCTACAAACCATATCCGATATGAAAAGTTCCGGTGAGGTCCGACGCAGAGCACAAACCAACAACTACCATAGGAAGTTCCCATCCCACAATGAAATATTTGATGAAGATCTTTTTGGTGTCTGATGGTTGTCTTCTTCTGGCAGTCACTAGATGGTATAGACGTAAGTAAAGCATAGTGTTGGCATGCTAAACTTATGAAACTATTTATTCCATAAATAAAGGAAATTTGATAAGGACTTGTGGCTACAAAGACCTATTCGGCGTTGTTTTCAACAGCAATAAAAGACTGCAAGTAATAAACGGTTTGTACTAGCGAGTAGGCTGGTGTCAATAGGCTGTATGGCAGCAGAAACACGCAATTTTGTAAACTTATCAGAATATTTTAGTTTTCGTTACAAAGAATTGTCACATGTCAAATTAAATCACGTCGAACGAATTTCCGTCCAAGGGCTTCGGACTCTCTGCTGGGCGTTCTATTGCGGCAAGTGTTTTTATCAAAAGTGGGTCACAGTAGTTTCGTCAATTCTAAAAATGAGTTCCTTTTTTGTTTGTTCATTGAAATATAGTTAAAAACGCACAATTATTTTCTAACATGTTGCGATTATTCTTTAACATATTACGTTGCGGGTTGATTTCATTTAAAATATGTCCTTCCATTGTTATCTTTCTGGCCCTCTTCTCCCAGTTCCCAAAATTAAATGTTCACGCAGTTAAGTGGTTAGGGTAAATTAAGGTTTGTTTAGAACACGGTTTTGTTAAACAATGGCTAAACTTTGTTTAAATAATCAGACAATTTATGTTTAGAAGTAACCATGCATTTTTTCGCCCAGTTTTCAAGGGAACACACTGAAAAACTGAGTTGATATCTGTTAACTACTTGGTTCTGTTAAAAAACAAAGTTCTTTATTCGCGCACACACTAATCCAAGTAATAGAATGTAGAGCCAAAATTCACAAGTTTTATACCTGCTAGCATTTTGCATATAATTACGGTCACACTACAACGATTCTGTTGTGATAAAACGTAAATGGTGGCGTGAATTGCTGATTATGCAACAATATCGATCTATCATAGAATTAGTGTTTAGGACAACCGAAACTATTTTGAGCCACCTTGATATTGTCGTCACATACCTTTGGTAGAAAACGTAATTGCCGCATCGAAGGCCATGATACTCATCCATGCAAATGTAGAAAGGATATAAAAGTGGACCAAAATAGCGACTGTTTTGCAAAGAACATCGACTTCTGTTGACTTTTTAGCACAGAGAAATATCATTTGATAAAGCAGTAACGCTACAGAGAGATTGATAACACATCGACCAGGAAGGTTTTTAAGTTCCTTAAAGGATACGTAGACTATGAGTAGGACACAGAGTGAGAATATGGACAAAAGCATGCCAGTAAATGTGATGACAAAGAGAGCTGAACTTCCGTTTTCATTTGAGTCATTCTCCCATACATTCTTTATGGTCGGATGATCTGGACACAGAATGTGAACAACATTCTCGTTGTATGAGGTCTGATTCGTCGCCAACATCACAGAACTTTCCTTCCAAGGATATACCGTTTGATTTGGTTGGTTTTTCACAGGATAGAAAACCCGACATGTTTTATTTCTAAAGATAACTGTGCAATTATCAAATTTTGAACTGCAGTTAAGTGCCTGTTGTGAGATAACATGGCTCACTGTTAGAGTATTAGCTGGTTTTGTTGGATGTACATGTTTTGGATCAGCTGGCTCCTCTATATCAGTGCTTATATCCAGTAGAATGCTCAAAGGGGGCACTATTGGCCGCACTGGTTTTCCAGTAGTGTCCAGTCTTCCCTCGGGATTACAAAATGCACAGTGAGGATTTCTATACCTACGCAATACTTGTCCATCTTCAACTGTAAAAGTCATGGCGTACAACACACACAACTGTCTGACCACAGATAGCATTCTCGGCTCTTTAGACGAACATGGTGAATCATGAATCACACAAGACTGTTGATATTTTTCAATGTCTGGCGTTGGTAAATATTTCCATGAACAATCGCCATATTCCTTCAGAAACTTCTTAATTATAGTGATGTTGGGAACAGGTCCCGGTCCAGAGGTGAAGTCGCATGAGATATCAAGACCCCAAAAATACGTGTTTGTTTCGTTGTTACACCTGGCACAGGCAATACTTCTATAAGTTAGATTATGTTTCCAGCCGTAGACAGGTAGTTCTTTCTGTGGCGTGAAATTCAACCTCTGGACAGGATGGCACTCTTTTGTGCTCGCATTGACACTTGAAACACACGTAGATCTCATGACTACTCCAGATGACCAAGACGAACTGTCGACTTCCCCACATTCGACATTCTCCGGAAAGAAAGAACTCGAAATTTTACGACACCTACCGAAAAAAGTGAAGTGTTTAATTTTGTGAAAACAAACTAACAAAAAAAAAAGACTTATTGTGTACCTACACCCTTACGCCTTATGGGGATAGCTAATGTTTTATTTAGACCACAATTTACCTTGCGCTATCAATGGTTCTTTTAATCATTTGTCATCATTCATTTTCATTATCTGTTATTCCTGAATATTACTCATATTGATACCCCTCTCTATTAACCCTTTTTACGTAAATTTCCTCTCTAGGAAATAGGAGAGTATGTTGGTGTCCTGTCTGCGTGTTTCTGTAACTAATGGTTTAACTGATATCATGTAACTTGTGTTTCCAGTTTTATTAACTCTTTATTTAGTTTTATAGAAAGCTAATGTCCCTTTTTGCTTCTATTTCACTTATATTAATTTCTTTCGTTTGCTTCTCCGTACAGTTTGCTTGTACAGGGGCACAAATAGTAAGAGCATGAGAAGAACCTTAACGCCTTAGCTCGATCTTTTCACTCTAAGAATTTTCATAATTTCATCGTGCTGTAAAGGAAATATGAATTCAGGTCAGTGAGCCTTACCTTGAGTAAAAATCAATGCAACAGTTCCCAAATGTTTCGCACACCCTATCACAATAACAACTCTTAGACTGTTGTCTTTCTCCAATGTAACATCTCCCTCCACATGACTGTGCTGACGAATTCTTCTGTTTAAGCATTACTGTGAAAAACTCCTTTTCGTTTGGTACAGTGATGTTTTGTTGACGGAGTAGTTCAGAGATATTTCACAATCTGATAAGTTCATTCTTAAACTTCACAACAAAGTCATCTTTCCTTGAACCTGAATCAGAGAAAAAAAAATCGACGTAATTGGCGGCACTGACTCCTGCAATGTCAGCAACTCCTTCGAAAATGATATTCATTCAGAAGCTAAGAGAGAAGGAAACTCTTGCATCCGATACCTTTTTCAAGTTAGTATGGGATTTTGCTATAGAGAAAACTGAAATGACAAATAAATAAATAATTAAATCAAACAAACAAAACATTAACCTACATACACACATGTACACAAGTCATATCTGTCTATTCCGCTACTTGAATCAAAATCAAGGAAGAATAAATCAATTTGTCAAAGCCTTCGATGGTCAATACTTCTTTCAGCCTGTCGATTTAGTTATCCAGAAACAAATCGTTCACTAACACATTGTACTTACCAATTGGTGTTGGAAATTGGAAATCTGTTCCTTTGGATTCGGCGTTATGTTCTTCATTTTCCTGAACCTTTGCTGGCAGTGAAAGACTCGATTGTGCAATAGCGAAAAAACAAATTGATATCCGAACAAAGGCGCTAGAATTCATGACCAGAGATCTTTTAAGTTTCATGAACTAAGTAGAATCCTATTGTGACCATAAGTGCAATTTTATATTAGCAAACTCATCTCGCCTCCCCCTTTTTCACAAATGTATGATGCGTGATAGCTCATTATGAAGGACTTTACGAATTCAAAACAACTGCCTTGAAGTAAAAATGTATTGGACTGGCTTTCAATAGAGCAAATACTTATCTTATGTCTCACTGTTGTCCGGTTTTCTCTCCTTATCGGTGATCTTTTTTCCGGCCCAAGTAATTTAATATCTGTGGGATTGTTGAGCTGCTTTTCTCTATTTGAAAGTGTACAAGTCGAACAAAGAGTCATAATTTAGGTGCAAAGAGTATCTTAGTACACGATCCATAAGTTTTACCGAGAGACGAGGTTTTTTCTTCCGCGCTACGTTCTGCAAACTTGATTAATCTGCTGCAAGAAGCCTTTTAGGAAAGCAAATACAATTCAGAACTTGGACACCCAAAAAAACAAATATAACAAGAAATTTTATTGTTATGACTAGCAGCTGAAAAGATTGTTAATTTACAAGATGTAAAATTTATCGGCTAAAACCTTTGAGTAATCAACGAAATCCGAAGACGTAGAGAAGCCCCTTTTTCTTAATTGCAAATTTAATTTTTAAAGAAACAAAATTGCTTTCGAAATTAAAAAAAAAAAGATCAATGATTCATTTCATGACCGGCGCTACAGTATAACGGTTTTTGGATGCGTCCGTTAAAATTATATGTCGTATACAAATAAAGTGGCGACTGTTCGTCAAAATACACAAAGGAGATCAATTGCTCATCCTGACACAAATCTGACGGATGGTTTTGAATTTAGAAAGATTATTCATTTAAGAATTTCGTTAAAGTCTTACCCCTGTTGAGAGCTTCATTTGTAAAATCGCCTTTTTCGCATCACTTGTTGATAGAAAAACATAAATAAAAAGAGGAAGATTTGGATATCGGAGACTTTATTAGTCTTCCAAAAATGGTAGTGCTGATGTCAGAAGAAAATATTCAATTAAATATTTTCCAGAAAAAATGTATTTTTCTACGTTTTTATCACCCCCTCAGGATCCATGTAAACATTCACGATAAAAATGGTTCCAATGAACCCCAGTTCGCTATGACGCATATGTTTCATTAAAAAAGTCCGACTCTGTTTACTTTTCGGTTTTTTAGGGATCTTTTTAATATAGCTGCGACTGACAGTTTTCTCATCTTTCTTCTCATAATAAAAGACTTAAGCTTATATAAAGAATGAGGAAGACTTCCAGGGGTTGGAGAGTCACTTTTAATCGAATTTATTATGTATTTTACGTTGTTTCCTTTTTGAAGCATAAACTTGGTGGGTGCTTGATCCGAACACGATGAGTCACTAGTGACTAAGTGATAGCTATCATTCTGATTATATATTCAAGTCACAAATAGACGTACGCATAGTGTTAAACAACAACAAAAAAAATTGTTACAATTTGCAGCTCGGAAATAGATCTGACCAAAAATTGTCCTTTTATTTCAAAGGATGTTAGGTTAAGCTTAGCTTAACTCAGCACCTGTAACATTTGAGTAAGTTGCATTTTGTGCTCTAAATTAACCGCAAAAGCTGAGGACAACATTATATGAGGAACATGTGGCATCCTGGCAAGTCACAGAAAGCTCGGGACAAACATGGAACAAGATCTTGAGGAATGGTTTGGATAATAAAAAGTATGAGCTTTTTATGGATTGTAGAAACTGGTTGTTCAAACCATTACAGCTACGTAAAAGGTGTTTTGACACGTAGATACCAATATAAGTGGGAAATAATTTCCCTAATTATTAGACAATCATAAGCATGGAAATATATTACACTGACTACCAGAGTACGTATAACATCTATCAAACATCTGTTTATTTGAACAACACAACATGGTTCGATCCTTCGATCAACGTTAATTTTCTACAGTTTCCTGTACTTGCAGGTATATAATTTTTAATCCTACTTGAATCATACTTATTACAGTAATAACATCAACTGACTTGCGTTCATACACCAGTGCCTTACATATACTAATTATTTACAGACGTATTGCACCAAAAAAACGTGTGTACATGTACTGCAATTCGTAATACTATTGCTTATGCCATTTACAATACGATCACTGATAATACGATTGCAATGTACCTCTAATATCACGGTCACTAATGACCTTTGTCTAGGCAACCATCAACTTTTGATATTTAGAGAAGCAGTTCGTTTAAAACCGACAGTTATTATATGCATATTATACTGTGTTCGTTTTCGCTGTTGGAGTTGTGACTCACTTATTCCCTGGCATCGATGGCTGAACCTTCAGCTCTTTCAACATCAGTGATTCCCAGTGTGCGTTGGTCGTGGGTGGAGTTTGTTTGGGGTTCAACCGCACGACTCATTCGATTGCAAAATCTCTGTTTGAAGAGGCCTCGAACTCTTTTAGTGGTTACAAAACATAATGTGATGAATAACCCTGTAAAGCATTACATTAGTAAATTAGCCATATCGAATGACAATATAACAAGAGTACAATACCATAGTTTTCTATCTTCACTAAGTATTGCCATCACATCCTGGGAGGTAATAAATCTTCTGCCCACGGAATAAAGCTTAAATTGCAGACTTGAAATACATCTCACCCAAGGAACAGAAGGATAAAGTCGGGGAAATAAAACTACTTTTTTGTAATGCTGATGAGCTAAAAATTGAAATAGATGTGGGAAAGAAAAAAAAGGGAATAAAAAATCCTCACAACACGGAAAGTCTTCACTCCCATCAAGACAAGTACAGGCCCAATTCGGACTTGTGAGGAAACAGGGATTAAAAGCTTTGCTCAGGTTATTCCATATACACTGTAACTTAAATCAACTCATGTACCTTGCAAACTAATTTGGTTATATCAACTAGGTTGAAATTGTAATTTGGCCACCGTAAAGAGTTAAAAAGCTGACGTTTCGCGCGTTAACCCGTTAGAAACTTTCACCCTTTATTACCTTGCAAACTGTTTAACACAGCGGAAGGGTGTTGTAAGAACTCAGTTTGTTTCAAATGTGCAGCAAGCTCCAGAATCCAGGTCAGACCCATGACTGTGGTCAGTTTGATGCAGATGAGAGTGAGAGAAGCTTTAGAGCTGTTAGATGCTGCAAAGTAGTCAGCCTGAGTGAAAAAACAAACAAAGAAACAAACAAACAAAAAAGTATCAGAAAATTCCTTTAAGCCTTGACTTCTCAGTAGTGTCGGCTTATGTCACCCTGCTTCAGAAGAGTATATGTAGTAAGTTAGACCAAATGAGAACCTAGTATAAAGTTGTTAATTCTCTCCGAAAGGTTCATGCTTCAATGTGATTTACCTGTTGTAAATAGCGAATGGCATATACACTTTTACCAAGGCAAATTATATTGAAGATCAAAGCAGCGCTGACAGGTGTTACCAGGAAAACAGCCAGGGCCGTGTTATCTGATATCCAACAGTAGATAAAACTTCCTATTGGAAAAAATCTGACAGTAAATTCAATGCAACTCATCCCACAATGGCAGATTATGATAAATAATAAGCGAAAATATTTGATGGCTTTTTGGCTCATGGCGAAGTATTACCTCGTGAAAGGCAAGAAAATGAAAGGAAATGACCATGGAAACAGACATTCGTAATTAGAAAAGATAAGATAATGACTTTATTGGATAACAAACAACTGAAACAAATAACTCAAATTGAACATGACATAAATGGCAAAAATGCGAAGAAAAATACAATTAAAAATTGAAAATTAAAAATTCGAGTGAGAAATTCAGTGTGGTTTTTCTTTTTTACTTTTTATTTTATCTCATGAAAGATTCGAGTGTGTTCTCTTCTTGAGCAAAAGTTACCAACTTAAGGGAAGTTTACTGCTCGTCATGAAACGAAAATGGATTGGTCTAGCTGAGAGTTTAATTTGGGATATACTCACATGTTTTGTTTACATACCGTATCCGATGTGGAAAATTCCAGTGAGGTCCAACACAAAGCATAAACCAACGATTACTGCAGGCAGTCCCCATCCCATCATGCAATACTTGATGAAGATCTTTCTGATGTCTGATGATTGCCTATTTGCGTCAGCCACTAGTTTGTATAATTACAAAGGAACACCATTTCATTAGGAGAATGGCTTAATCAATTTTCAGCATTGTCCAGTTCGCATGGTTTTACTTCAAATATGAAACAAATTGGCGCAAATGTTGGGGAGGAAATCTGAGAAAAGGTAAGATGTGCCATGAATTGGTGTGTGAACAATTCAGGAAGATCACAATGTTTTTGCATTCGAACGACTTTCTGTAAGTTTTCGCTATTCAAATGTCACCTATGATTCCTCCTTTTTTGTTATATAGCAGTACTATGACAATACGGTATGATTCTGTTAGTGAAAATTCGGCAGCTTGATCATTGTTTTGAAAGCTAGAGCAGAGAAAGATTTTCATGCACACAAGGAGGGACCAGTGAAACCTCGCTATGTATTTGAGCTTTTCCTTCCAATCAGGCAAAATTCATTTAAGTCGATACTAGCCATAGTCGCGTAAATGCGTGTCACGCCAACTACAGTGCACTGCATCTCTATGTCTTTATGAAAGGTTTCGGGGTATTGAAAGAATTGAATACCTGAGGCTGTTACCTGCTTCGTTTGGAGAGGCTACATGAAACTAAGTGCATCTTTTATGGTCAACCAGACGCCAACGGTAAGAATCTCCTCTAGGGATGGGGTGCTTAGTGGTCCCATGTGACGGGTGCACTTACCTGTCGTACTGAAAGTATGTGCTGTACCTACTGTCATCACCGTTATCCATGAAAATAGCAAAGAATTGATCTTGAAAGAAATGACTTTCCGAGGAGCGTTTTTGCTTCGTAACTACGTGAAGAAGTGTCCCAGTATTAAGGGTTCACTTACCTGTTGTAGTAAAGCTACTTGCTGTATCAAAGGCCATCACCGCCGTCCATGAAAACGTGGAGAGAACAAAGAAATGAAGTAAAATGGCCACTGCTTGGCAGAGGAGAAGGACTTCTGTTGACTTCTTAAAGCTGAGAAAAAATGCTTGGTAACACAATAACACTGCAGAGATATTGATCACA